AAAAGGTAAAGGAGTGGGCAACATGCGTGGTGGCGAGGGCAGAATGTGTCTGCCTCCTATGCTGCTTCATCCCGTCAAAGATGTCGAGTTGCCTGTTGAAGCCCCTGAGGCTGATGCTGAGGCGGGTAAAGCCCCCCAGTCTGATCCTGGAGCCTAAATAATCTCCTTACCTTTTTGCATGCAATGGCTCTGAGAGTCAAAACAAGGCGTTGGTTTTGCTTTTCTGGGGGTTTCTTACGGGTTCATGTCGTGTCATGTCAGCGATGAATATACGTCAACGAGATGAATGACCTTGATTTGAGCTACAAGGCACTGTAGTATACAAGATATGTTTTTCAGGATAATTGGTCATAGACTTGCTTGGGTTGAATAATGAACATGAAATTTCAAAGCTGTGTGTATCTACCGGTGGCAGTTTGTAAGGTAACATCAAAGCAGTCACCTGGACCTTCAGGCCGCCAGTCGTGGCCCAAATGCAATCAATATTGGGCTCTTGTCAATGTAAAATGTTTTAGTACATGCTCTCCCTGTTATCACAATTGCGCAGGTTTCCAACTGGTCCTTTGTATGATCGTTTCATACACCCAAAAGTGCTCCTAATATAATGTTGCGCCAAACCGTTTTTCGCATTTGCGGTTCGTCAAACAAACAATAATTCGGGGCATTTCGATGAGTTGGTCTTTTATCATGGCGTCATGCACCTTAGTCTACCCCTTAAACCACACGCTTAACCTCGAAGAACCGTCGCAGCCACCAGACCTGGAAGAGGGATTCACCAATGACAACACCAATGACAAACATGTTCCACCACTTGACTCGGCTGTTTGTGCTCTCGGCGGTGTTGCGGTGGGTGCGTTCACGGATCACGATGTATTCTTGTTCGTCCTTGACCTGGGCAAGGAGATCAGACAGCTTACGAACTGTAGAATATTGTAAGCCAATTTTAATCATTTCCAGACGGAGGATGCTCATTTACCTTCACGATCAAGGGGGTCGGCAGGCATTTCGTGCTCGCTCACGTAGACGATTCCGTGGACGTTGAAGGAGACCTCCTTGGTGTTGGCACCCCAGTTCTCATTTCCGAAGCAGTATATGTATTTGCCATCATGCTTAGCCGTGAACGAATAATCGCCGTTCGAGATACTCTTCTCGTTTGTCTCGTATTGACCAGCAGGGTTGGTGATCTGCTATAAGTTAATATCCTGATTGTTTGCCTGGCTCCCAAAGGCACGTACCCAGAAGTCGATATCAAGGTTGCCTGCGCTACCGAATTCACGATCGCCAACCTGGAAAGTGACAGTCATAGTGTCGTCCTTGTGTAGGGACTCGTGAAAGCATTCTCGACCGTGGGCAGGCAGGACGATGTTGTGAGCAGTGACAGCTGAGAAGACAGCAGCGGCCACGAGGGCCTTGGCCGCAGAGACGAAGTACATTGTCGGGTATGTATAGGTCCGATCGATCGCTATAGCTTCAAAGGAGTGTCGTGGTTGTTTGCGATGCTATAATACTCTGATCATGAGCATTGAATCCCCGTGTTGGAGCTATTGTCCAGTGTCCACTAAGTCAAGTATAGAGTTCGGATTGCGACGAATTGACACCTTTCCGCACCTAATTGGAGGAGCAGGAGGGTTTGCTCCTGTTGCGGCTCGCGTGTGGGCAGCCACGGTTTTGCCGAGCCTGTATTTGAGTTCCTGCCAGCTTGCACCTTTTGTCTGTTTGCCAAAATTCACAAGCCAATCCCACGTCCCCAAGCCTAAAAGGGGGGAAGTGGGCGGGTGGAGTCTTGCTGTGGCTTGTAGAGATTACCTTGGTTTGTCGTTTATCTGTCCTTGCGACTTCAAAAAGGGATGAGATGGATCATGGCGGGACCGATTGCGCGGCGTTGACTTCGTGCTATCTGACATTGAGAAACGAGTTTGCAGACGATATGCGTTCTCAGGCGCCATTACAGCACTCAGAAACTTCAAGCTTAGAAATGTATCAATGGCACTTCTTGACACGAGACTGACACAACAAGTGTCGCCATTCACAACTTCTCTTATCAAGTATCTGAATCGCTTAGAAACAAGTACCCGAGATCAAGGTCACTGACCACATGTGGCGGTGCAATTGCGTTGTCTGCCCCTCAGCTCTCCCTGTCTGTCCCCTGAGATGTCCTCGAAAATAGGCCTTGGCTCCAGTATTTTCTAGCGATCAACCAGTAATTTCCCCTCTAACGACACGCTCACCAGCCCGGCCCCAGTAACAAACAGCCCGAGGCCAGAAAAAATAAGAACCTAGCAGCTGGAGCCCAAAAAGAGAGCGATAATGTCTCTCACCCCTCCCTGAGTGATTGTCTTCTCACACCGACAAGTCAAACCACACGACAGCGCCCACCCCCAATCCATCCATATCCATCCATCCATCGCCGCTCGTCGTTTTTTCTGCACCACCACTCCAAGGACCGCCCCACGATCCAGTAAGTTCAGCGTCTTCCTGTCTCTCGCTCGAGTCTGTCTAGATCCCGCTGTTTGTTGCTTGTCTATTCCCGATCTTCCTCACGATGGTTTGTCTCAAGAAGCTCCCGTCTCACGCTGTCGCCGCCCGATCACCAAATTCGCCGTCATGCTATCCCCCCCCGTTGATCCGCCTCGTGACGGCTCTGAATCAAATATCGACGTACAGCATAGCATACTGGCCATAGCGGGTGATAGCGGCAGCCTGGAACGGGGGTGCTTGCAAGCTTCAAGGACTATCCAGGACTTCGATGATGGTGATGACGGAGACGTGTCCATGGATGAGCTTTTGATCATTGCCTCGATCATTCCCTTAGGTGTCCTTTCGCGATACTCCATAAAGCCGTCCCGCCTCCACCATCACCAAAACATCCAACCTCCTGCTCCTCCCTTGGCTAGACGTTCTCCCATATATTGTCTCAGCCTGCCTGCAGCCTTTGTCTCTTCCCTCTTTATCTCGTCCCCTTTTTACCCCTCGCCACGTCGTCTTCTCTCAACATCCACAGCATCGCTGACCTGGCGCCTTCGCCTTTAGAACCTCTTACTCTATACCTAGATACACAGGCCTCGAAGCCGTAAACCGCAATCATGGGTCTCGCCTTCTCAAAGCTTTTCGACCGACTGTGGGGGAAGAAGGAGATGCGAATTCTGATGGTTGGTCTTGATGCCGCCGGTAAAACCACCATCCTCTACAAGCTTAAGCTTGGTGAGATTGTCACCACCATTCCCACTATCGGTATGAGACGCCCTCGAATTTGATAACACTTCATGTCGCTAACAGAATTTTCCTTCTCATCTGCTAGGCTTCAATGTCGAGACCGTAGAGTACAAGAACATTCAATTCACCGTGTGGGATGTCGGTGGTCAGGACAAGATTCGTCCTCTGTGGAGACACTACTTCCAGAACACTCAGGGTATCATCTTCGTCGTTGACTCCAACGATCGCGACCGTATTGTTGAGGCCCGAGAGGAGCTCCAGCGCATGCTCAACGAGGACGAGCTCCGCGATGCTATCCTTCTTGTCTTCGCCAACAAGCAGGATCTTCCCGTACGTCACGACCCCACCTCGACACTTTCTCCCAAATCTCCCCTCAATGTGTCTTTTACCCGCGGTACCATGTACTAACGTTACGCTACCATTAGAACGCCATGAACGCCGCCGAGATCACAGACAAGCTTGGCCTCCACAGCCTGCGACAACGCGCCTGGGTAAGTAATGAACTGTCAATATCTGACCCCAGATGTTGTCTCTTTGTTCACGTGCTAATCTCTTGCTTTCTTCCCTTAATAGTACATCCAGTCCACCTGTGCCACCTCCGGTGACGGTCTCTATGAGGGTCTTGAGTGGCTCGCCAACACCCTCCGAAAGGCGGGTCATCAGTAGAAAGATGTCGAGAGGCCTCTCTATAAAAACTCGCTTTTTCTCTCCTGCTCTGCCATATACTCTCAAATGGCTCTTTGTCTCGACTCGAGGTTTCGGTTGTAATTTGCAAAGTTATCGGTCAACCAATCGAAGATAAATCCTTGAACCAAAGTCGCGTCTATTCACGTTTTCTGTTTAAGCAACCTCTTTTAACGCTTCCTTCCTCTCTCAATGGTGCTTCACTGTGAGCCTCCTGGTCAACATCTGCTTGCCATCGCCAGCGTCAGCTCGCCTCCTGAGGACCACAGAACGTACTTTCTCTTTTTTTCTTCTTGGAGGAAAAGTCGGGTGATGATGGGAGGCGTCTTATGGGGAACCCCGGGATATTTGTACAGTCGTCAATCGGGTGTTGTTTGCTCTTTGAAAAGAATGCATCCTCGCTGATTTTACAATACTCTCGCAAACCGTGGCGCACTGGTAGATCTATCGTTTGTTTAATTTCTTTCTTTCCCATGTCGCTTAGGGAACATGACCATGATGAGCAACTCAAGTAACGAGGGGTATAAACGAGGCATGCATTTGGGCCACTGCGAGATTGGGCTGTTGTAGAGATTCTATCTGTTTTATTCCACACCTTTACTGAAACCGTGAGGCTTAACTGATTTAAGTGACACCACTGGCAGTCTCCAGTCTTTTGGCCAAGAGGATCAGATCCTTGGGTCCAGAATGTTGGCTTAAATCTTGAAGGAAAGACCTTTACGAGGGCAAACGTATGGGGATTGACTCCATGACAGACCCCGAGCCAAGACGCAGCTCCTGGAGGATCGTACAAGTCTGTTGTGCATCAAAGATTTAAGCTGACAATGTTCCAAACCTTGTTTTAGCCCCGGATATCCATGGAAGATAGTAGTTGCAGGCATAGTGGTTGCAGCCTGGGAAGAATTAATTCCACCAGCACTCCGAAACATGACTTTTTCAGTGCGTCTTGATATAGGTTTGTCTCAATTGAGTGGTTATGCATTACTTGATATTTAGTTACATTCTATGATACTATAAGCTTCTGTTATACAAGCTGTACAATTAAACATGAAACACATTAAGTCATTATTAGAATCTCGAATAGTCTTTCATAGTCAGGTCATTCAAGCATCCTTGGGCTTGACGGTGATATCCAAGCCCTCCTTGTCGTCACGGATCTTAACCTCGGCAGTCTCACCCATCTTCAACTGCCCTTTGATGATCTGGTCTGCAAGGCCGTTGCCAATCTCATTGGTGATGAGTCGGTTCAGGGGGCGAGCACCAAACTTGGGGTCGTAGCCACGCTCTGCAAGCCAGTCTCTGACATCGTCGGGAACCGAAAGGATGATGCGACGGTCATCAAGACGCTGCTGGAGCTCCTTGAGGCGAATATCGACAATATCGCGGATAGCGCTGCGGGCGAGACGCTTGAAGACAATGAAAGAGTCGATACGGTTAAGGAATTCAGGTGGGTAAGCCGAGGCGACAACGTCCATGACAGCCTTACGGACTGATGGGTCGATCTCGCCATCGGGTGTCTCACTATAGGGGTGAAGGTGGTTTTGACCAACAAGGATATCAGCACCCAAGTTGGATGTCAGAACGATAATGGTGTTCTTGAAGTCAACCTTGTGGCCTTGAGCATCGGTGAGGTAGCCCTCGTCAAGGACCTGAAGGAGGAGAGCGGAGATATCGCGGTGTGCCTTTTCAAACTCATCAAAAAGAAGAACAGCATACGGCTTCCGGCGGACGGCTTCGGTCAGTTGGCCGGCGTCCTCATAGCCGACGTAACCGGACGGTGCACCAATAAGTCGAGAAATGGTGTGCTTTTCCTGGAATTCTGACATGTCGAAGCGAACAACAGCAGACTCAGTCGAGAACAGGAAACCGGCCAATTTCTTGCACAGCTCTGTCTTGCCCACACCAGTAGGGCCCAGGAAGAAGAAGGAAGCCAGTGGTTTGTTCTCGCCGCTCAAGCCAGCTCGTTGGAGACGGACAGCATTAGAGACTGCCTTGATGGCTTCATCTTGTCCCTTGACTGTCTCGCGGAGGGAATCTTCCATATGAACCAATTTCTCAATGTGTCCGGAAGTCAGCTTCGACACAGGGATGCCTGTGATGCGGGAGACGACATTGGCAATATCGTCGGGGCTAACAGAGTCGTGGATTAGAGCATCACTGGACTTTGCTTCTTTGCCCTCTCCTTCCTTGGGCAACTTCTTTTCGAGGTTGGGAATAACACCAAACCTGAGCTCAGAGGCACGACCAAAGTTTCCTTCTCTCTGTGCCTGCTCAAGCTCGAACTTGGCCTTATCAAGATCTTCTTGGATCTTCTTGACTGATTCGATCTCAGCGCGCTCCTTCTCCCAGCGCGCATTGAGCTCGGAAATTTCCTCATTCAGTTTCTTGAGGTCATTTTCAAGCTTCTCACGGCGCTCCTTGCTAGCGACGTCTGACTCCTTCCTCAGACTCTCAAGTTCAATCTGGATAGTCATGATCTTGTGATCAAGGCGCATTATATCCTCGGGCTTGGACTCATGCTGCAATTTGAGATGACTGGCTGCTTCATCCATGAGGTCAATAGCCTTATCTGGTAAGAATCGATCGGTGATGTAGCGGTTGGATAAGGTAGCAGCAGCCACCAAAGCGCCATCTGTAATGCGGACACCATGGTGAACTTCATACTTGTCTTTGATGCCTCGGAGAATACTGATTGTATCCTCCACAGAAGGCTCGCTAACAATGATAGGCTGGAATCGTCGAGCCAATGCAACGTCCTTCTCGATTTGACGATATTCGTTGAGAGTTGTTGCACCACAGCATTGAAGTTCGCCACGGGCTAAAGCAGGCTTCAGAAGATTTGACGCATCGATGGACCCTTCAGCCTTCCCAAGGCCGAGGAGGGTGTGCAATTCATCAATGAAGAGGATAACTTCTCCTTGAGCTTGTTCCACCTCTGTCAAGACCTTCTTCAACCTCTCTTCAAAGTCTCCTCTGAACTTGGCACCAGCAATAAGAGAGCCAAGGTCAAGGCTGATGACCCTCTTATTCTTGATACTCTCAGGGACGTCACCGCGCACAATACGGAGGGCGAGACCCTCGAGAATTGCAGTCTTTCCAGTTCCCGCATTGCCGATCAGGACTGGGTTGTTCTTGGTTCGTCTTGACAAGATTTGAATGGTTCGCTGAATCTCTGCGTCTCTTCCAATGACTGGATCCAGCTTTCCATCCTTGGCTCGGGCAGTCAAGTCGATACCAAATTGTTCTAGAGCAGGCTTCTCTTCTTCGCCGCCCATGTTCATCCGGTGAGTACCACCGGGGGGTGTGGACGACCATTGGCATATGACCTGATAGCAAGACTTGGGATCAATCGTAGGGAAGTTGGCCTCAAAGGTTGTGTAGCAAGAACCCGTGTAAGTGGTTGGACGGATCGGGTCCGGGCACTAGCAGCCATGCGCTGTGTTGATGTGATTATTTGCTTGCGTGCCTGCATGTTGGACACTGTGATAAAAAATAATTACAATAACGTCTAAAAGAGAGAAAACGAGCGTAAAATCGTAGATTTCTTCAGCATGCGGGAGACCTCTTATTATCTACGTACGACACGAAACTCGGCTACAGGCTTCAAGGCGAATGGAGCATATTCTCGCAAGTTCGATCATCCGTCATCGAGAGACGCTAGAGCTGATAAGATAAGTAGAGCCAACTTTTACCACAAAATCATGTGACTGACTCTAGAAGACAGAAAATTTACGTGATGGCCTCACACAGGTATTCTGTCACCTGAGAGGCAGCTTGCAAGGAAAGGAGACTAGGAACTCGGTTGTATGAAAATTGCAGATATTCTGGTATGTTCTTCGTTCTCATTCTTATGACATTCAGGCAGAATTAAATCATGTGATGCTCGTAGATTGTTGGTCTTCAACCAGCTTCTAAGGCTATCTCGTTATTAAGTGGCACACTAGAAAAATTTGGCCATAGCCCTTCATTAACCCAACTGGCTTATTCTGCCCTAAGAAGATCCGGCACGTGACTCTGTCGGTGGAGACTGCGACTCAATTTTGATTGGGCAGTTCGCCACACTTTCTAGGCTTCGCCCACAAAGACAATTTACATTTTGGGCCTACACCACCTCAACACCACCGACTTCACTTCCTCTTTTCACCCAACCCCAAGTCAACCAGCCAGGAGAGTCACAATGTCGGCGAAGCCCACGAGCAAGACATTCGGAAAGTCGACCCGAGAGGTTCCTGCCTCTTCGGAGAAGGCTAAGAAGTGGTACCCCGCTGACGACGATGCCGAGAACAAGAAGGTGAGTCTTTTGGTGATGATTGCGATGCACTTGCAGGCAGTTGCGTTATGCTTTGGAGTGCGCGGCCAGGATTCGGGAACCGAGGAGTTGAGAGAACGAGTTTGGTCCATGGCAATCCGACTGCCATCGCAAGAACGCACTTTGAACGACAAAAGGCTTCGAAATTCAATGCCATATATCGAACGCACAGATCTGCAATGCCTGCGACAAATATCGATTGACGATTCCACCCTCTTTACATATAGCAACTGCCTGCAGCAATGTTTTGCATAATCAAGTATCAGCCTGCTAACAGCTGGAAATCACAGGTCCGCAAGGCTGTCCGATCTTGGGCCCCTCGCAAGTCCCTCCAGCCCGGCACTGTCCTCATCCTCCTCGCTGGCCGCTTCCGTGGCAAGCGTGTCATTCTCCTGAAGTCCCTCGACCAGGGTGTCCTCCTCGTCACCGGCCCCTTCAAGATCAACGGTGTTCCTCTGCGACGAGTCAACTCCCGATACGTCATCGCTACCTCTTACAAGGTCGACATCTCCGGTCTCGACGAGAAGAAGATTGAGGAGGTCTCTCAGCCCAAGTACTTCACCGCTGAGAAGGCTAAGGAGAAGGCTGGTGAGGAGGCTTTCTTCAAGCAGGGAGAGAAGCCCCAGGTACGATAGAACGACTCCAGAACAATACTCGCGAAATACCAGATCACTGACTACCGTTTATAGAAGAAGGAGGTCAACAGCAGCCGCGCCGCCGACCAGAAGGCCATCGATAAGGCTCTGATTGCCAACATCAAGAAGGTTGACATGCTGGCTTCTTACCTCTCCAGCTCTTTCAGCTTGAGGAAGGGTGACAAGCCCCACGAGATGGCCTGGTAAATGTGCAATCTTGTGCCGGGGTGATGGGAGTACCGGGGTTGCGACACAACGGGTTGTAGAACGGCAAGGGTCTCCGAAATGGGCTGGTTTGGCCAATTGCATTTGGAAGTCGACGGCATCGGTCCTATTTTGGCGTCTGTAATCAGGTTTTACAGTCAAAAAACAAACGAGCATACAAAATTCTAGAGGCTTCCGGTCAGAGGCCGATGATGATGAACTTCACTCGGATATCCCATCTCCTGAGTGATAAAGACAACTGGTGTGAGCGATCTTGGTGTTTTCCGATCTGATCTGGTCAACAATGGACATTGATTTATGAATGATTAAAAAAGTTTCAAAATTTATGTGTGTTTATCGGTCTGCTGGTATGTCAGTCCTCTAATGTGACCAAGACCCAGATTCATAATATCAACATGAGTATTATTTCATCTCTTCCCCTGTCCTAAGGTGACCCGGCGTTTAATGTGGCCATGCTCTTCACGGTTTTTATTTTACAAGTTGCGCTCTACCCAGCTCTCAATCATGCCAGTCAACGAGGCGTCGTAGTGCTTGATCGAAACCTTTCCAGATGACTCATCCAGAGAGGTATTGGCCTGAACAAAGACCTTGCGAGGCTGCTTGTTCTTGAGAACAATATCACGGACCTTCTTGCCCCAGAATTCAGGGTCAACAGTTGTCATGTGGACGTAAAAGTCAGTACCAGTCTTGACATCGGCGGTTGACTTGTAGATGTGCAGCTTCTGGAGATACTTGGCAACAGCTGAAGAATTTGTTAGCTTATGTCATGCCTTTAAAAATAAATCTTACCATCTCTACCAGCCGTAAGGATCTTGGAGCGATCCAATTTGATGGTCAAATCCGAAAGATCATCCTGTTTGTAATCAAGCTTGCAGAAATCGTCCTCGGCCTCAAGGAAGCACTTGAGGATGGAGAAGCGAGCTTGGCTATGAGCCTGGCCCCATTTCTGGCTCTTGGGATCCCACATCTCAAGAGAAGCAAGTCCAGCTCGGGCCATGGATAGGTAGGAGGCGAAAAGGACATCACCAGCTTCGCCATTGATATCCTCGGAACCATCACCAAAGCCGAAAATTTTGAGAACGGGGAACTCGCAGCTCAGGTGCATAGCAACAAGCTCGGCACGGCACTCCTCGTACGAGGCAGCAATGCTACCAAAGACGGAACCCCAAGTCTGCCCGGGCTTGTACCAGGTTGTGATAGGCTTGTTATCCACAGGGCTGACGGGAGGGTTCTCCTTGTCGAAGTTGTAGGTGCCTGGGGATGTCTCTTGGAGGAGCTTACCGCAACCATGACCTGACGAATATGAGCAATAGATTCAAGAGACTCTAGTCAGGATTACATACCAGTAAGCTCGTGGAGGCCAACTTGGACTTCAAAGGAAGCATCTCGCTGCTTCTTGTAGACCTCGAGATCTTCATCTCGAATGAAAGGAATCTTCTCATCAGGTGCCTTGGCACTGAGGACATTTCCAAGTGACACATTCTTGAAACCCTCGGTCTGACGGATATCATCATAATTGGGACTGAGAAAATGTCAACATTCCGCTTTCCACTTCATATAGGTTTTGTTATGGGAACCTACATGTTGATACCAGCGGGGATACCAGAACCTGGAGCGCTCAATGTTAGCATGTCTGGATTGTATGAATATAAGAGCACTAGGCTACCGACCAGCAAATGTGAGAACCTCAAGAGATGTGAAGTCGGGAGACAGGAACTTGTCCTTCTCAAACTCCGAGCCCCAGGGCAACAGAGGAATGAGCTTGGGGGCGTTTTTCACAAGCTCTCCAAATGCGCGAGTTCGCTCAACTGGTCAATGGTCAGTGATTGGTCAAGTCCTTATTGTAGATAAGTCTTACGGTTAACCACTATATAACCAGTTAGTAATTCCTCGCGCAGGACATATATTAGTAGGAAGCTTACTAGAGGCAAAGCCTTCCCACTCTCCACGAATACCGGCAGGGTCTCGATAAGTCTCAATGAAGCCAATGTTGGACTCAACCATAGGACCCTTGTCCTTGATCCAGTATCTTTGGCTGTCCTTGAAGGCCTCAAGTGAGCCGGACTCAAAGGACTTGCTATAAGCCTCGTGCATCTTCTTCTGGGTATCGTTCTCCGCATTCTCGGCAGCACCGTTAATGAAGGTTGTGATGTTCTTCATCTCCTCGGCATAGTCACCATAGACCAGCTTGATTGCCTTGCTCTTGAGAGGTCCATCTTCCACTGTAAACTCGGTCTGCTTGCCAATGTCGCCTCCTTCACTGGGAATTTCCTTGACAGCTGAAGCGATGAGGATCTCGTAGTTACCCTCTGAGGTCTTGCGAAGTCGGTTGTTCTCGGGCAGAAGACCCTTGGACTCCATCCAGTCAGAAACAGCCTTGATTTCGTCCTTCGTGATGTGCGAAGATTCGGGGTAGTAAGTAGTCATGTGGCCGTCGTCGGGATAACCAAGGTGCATCATGGCGGGGTTGTCAGAGCTGAAGATGCCTCCCTTTGTCGCCTCGTAAAACTTGTTGGCCTCGGGTGAAGTGGAAGCGAGGGCAGCCACAGTCTTCTCCGAGCACCGGGGGATGAACTTGGAGTCGCCGAAGCTCTTGTAGTTGCCATTGTTGCCAAGGAACATGGCAGCGTACTCGAGAAAGCGGGTAACCTCATCTTCTTCGACGCCAACCTTCTTTGCTAGGGCATTCCAATCGCCATTGGCAGACTTGTGCAGGGTCAGAATCAAGTCAAAGATTGGCTCAGACTCTGGGGAGATCTGTCGAAGGACAATTCTGGTACCAGCGAAAGCAGCTCTGTGATGGTGTGTTAACATAAGCCACACGACCCCTCCCTCATAAGCATGGTTGCCCCTCATAAGCATTGATCGAGCTTCACGACGACTTATACACACTCGGGAACAAAACTTACTTGCTGATAAAGTGAGCATAACGTTTCTGTTTATCATTCAGGGCATCAAAGTGCTTCTCAATCTCGAGCCTAACCACCGAAGGAGGCTTGTCGGCGAGGTAGTGGATCAGCTCGTTCGAGTTCATGGCGATGGCAGAGGTTGAAAACCTGTGAAGGCTCTGGTGGTTGAAAGACTTTGTTAAGCGAGGAATGGGTCGTCGCGTCAGGAGGTGTGACTTCAAGGCTGCTGTTCTTAGTGAAGGCAATCTTTGAAATACAAGAGACGGTGAGATTAAGTTTGGAGAAGGCATGCCCGCTGGCTGTGACTGACGTTTTTAGGTCACGTCGGCCAATGAATCTTTGTTAATCTGGGGACAAACGCAGCTTCCTAAACGTGTCAAGGCGGCAAACAGAAAGACCAGAGCTTATTACCTATACCAGCTAGTAAGGCGGTGCAGAGAGCCCCATCATAAACCCCAATGAGGGGCTCTGCGACGAATGTTTTAGTATCATGATGTTGATAAATCTGAAGACATGCAAATGAATTGATCACACTATTGAGAATTAGGGTGTTGCTTTCACTGAACGGCTCTACACAAGAGTTGTGCCAATGCCGGTGCTGTTGCCAATCCGTCGTGTCCCTCTATTCAAACTTTCAATTGGCTCCAGTTTTGTCACTGGTGCCAAAACTTCGAAATAACCTCGTGAAACGTTCATGGATATCTTATATTATTGAGCCACCACTGGCGAAGTCAGTAACAGCTCGTTATTGGTTTTTTGTCACGGTTGTAATGCCAAATATCACAATTTATCCACAAATTGGAGGAGACCAGCGAGGCACATCGGGAAATGTTCCTGAGGCCTAGGGTAAGCGCTTTTTGGTCGATTCAGTGAACTCACAACTATTCTCCTGTTGTTCAACTTACTGTAGTATGAAACCCAGACTTTCTTACGTATATATATATAGACACACGGTAGCATTTGTCAACTATTTGTATGCTGCCTTTGAGGATGGCATGCAAGCGCCTCCTGAGGTTGGAATTTGCTGCATGATGCGTCAAACAGTAGTCATTGGGTGTGATACTGACATTGAACGGCATTGTCCTCATTACGTAGTGCGTTTCGGGATGTGGACGCCGGTCACTTCTTTTGGCTACCTCTGTTGATTAGTCCCTCTCAAGCGCAGGATGGTAGCCGATACATATTGAAGAAAGATGAAGCGAACCGAACCGAAATACCAAGCCAAGGAGCAATTCAGCTCTACCACCCCAGACGGGTACTGGGAATCCTATTTGTATTTTTATGCAGAAACCCCGGGGCACCCTCCAATGGTCCAATGTCATGTAAGGCTTTGGCATATGAAGACACAGTGCTTTCTGAAGCCGGAATTAAATGCATATCCTCCGTTGGTAACAATACTCCATAGGTGAGGCAAGACAAATAATCGTCTATCAGGATTGCAATCAAATAGGTATACAATTATGTATGTTGCTGCCAAGAAAAACCTACCAGATATCTATTATCTCTGGTCCAATTGTTGCAGAGGTACGGATGGCACAACACGGAGAAGTTGCATAAGGTACCAATGAATCGGCCTGAGACTTGCATGATCAACAAATCTGGGGTGCTTCCATCGCGAGTTGCCCCTTGCTGATCAATTAACCTGGGCTGCCTTACTATGACAACACATCAATACATCCAACAAAGTGCCGGAAAAATATCATGTGCCTCCAAAAAGTTGCATATAATACCAAAATTGGTTGAGAGTTTAAGTATTCAGCTATTTTAAGCGGTGTGGCGTTACAGGGCCGCAGCTCGGCAGAGGATTGAGATGTGAAGCTAGGCCAAGCCTCATCCTGCAAGCAAGCGTTAGCACGATCAACGACATCAGCCGGCGTTGCCAACCGAGCCAACCCTTCGGAATCTAGCAAACCAGCTGGGCGGGACACCGGGGTTGGGGTGACATGGATGGCTGTCTAAGACAATAACTCCAGCCGGGGAAGCAGTTGTGGTTCCCCCGAGTTGTAACGATGCCAATGTGATTCCTGGAGTAAATAGACTGATGTGTGACTGATTGCCAACGTTCGCCGATGCGAATGGGGAAGAATTGACCACTCCGAGTTTCCATTCGTGGTGTTCATGAATATGCTGGTTGATGAAGGCATTCGCATCTATCCACTCTCCTGTTCATTGGGCGTTATGAGCTCTCACCAATGTTTTGCACAGCGTTCCTATGAGTACTCCATCAAAACGTTTCACATTTTGACAGTTGTTCGTTCCTGACCGAATAATAAAACCGCTGGCTAGAAGATTCTGGTTGCAGTGGTCAAGGCTCTGTGCTTTGAATTGTCGTTCACCAGCTGACCTCTGCCCCCACGCTATTACCCCACAGTCAACGCTACTGGCTTTTCTCTCCTTGTGCCTTTTCCGCTCCCCGTTGCCCTGCCCTGTTTTGGGTAAATCTCACCCAAGCCGTTGACTTGTGATTGGATCGGGAGTCGAGGTCTTGAAAAGTGATCCTCAGCCCAGAGAAAGCAAAGCCGTGTAGGGTTTCCCATGTCGAAGAAAGTAATCCTTTGGTTTTGGTCAGATCTTGACTTTAACTATTACAGGAGAGCTCTGCTCGGGCCTATCTGAGCGAGGCGAGCGATCAAAAACCCATCAATAGGTACCTTAGGTAGGTAAAGCCAGGGTACCTACTCCGTAAAACCAGCATTAATGGATAACATGAGCAACGGCCGCGTCACTCAGTTCAGTGACCTCGGCGAAATAGGATTGTAGTAATAGGGCCCGTTAGGTTACTCGTAAACCACTCAGGAGAGAGGACGTTTCGAAACATGATAAAGGGAATGAGAATGTTGAGAATGAGGCTCTCAACGAGCGAGTGTTATCGATGAACAATGACATGGAGGGTGTCCAATTTTCCGGTCGGGAAATTCGGACCAGCACATCGGTACACCCGATCATCAACCAAATTTTGAATCCTTCCAAACGTTCAATCTGTCACTGGGATTTGCTGTTAAGTTTAACCATGAAACCATTGTGCCATGGTCGGCTCGATGTCAGCCGGATAAGTGCTTGAGACTGGTCTTCAGCAACACTGGACTTTTGCCGGATTAATCAGCTTGTTCAACGTTATTCTCGAACTCCAGAGGAACATAGTCAGGCAAATTGAATACACGAGATAAATAATATAGACTAAATGATGCTGCATATCTTGATATCGTTGGTCGTGCAAGCTGGCACGCGTTCGGTTCGGCGGCCAGAGTTTCCAGAATTACCCAACTGCGGAAACTCCGCGCAAGGATTTTTTCCGGGGAGCATGATAGATTCGCCCCTGTTCTACTACGTTCAAGCTCCTATCTAGGCAATGCGAAGCTGATGATTTGCACCTTGGATTTGCACTCCATGCATCGTTGCGTGGCGCCAAGTGAGATACACAATTTTAATGAGAATCTGCCGGAATTGTGTTTTTGTAAAACGAACTGGAACACGAAAACAAACGTGTGGTGGGCTCGTGACCTCACAAATGAGCGGGAGAGTGACAGGGGCTGGTTCTGGGTAATGTGAGCTGGATGGAATTTGGGGTTCAGGGAACCATCATCACGTCCCACAGGAAGCGTCATGGGCCAGATCCTCACCAATCTTTTTCCCTTTCCCCTGAGTCCAAATTGAACGGCATTGCCAGTCGGTCTCGAAATTCTGCTCCACCATAGTATATCCACTGCCATGGATGCTTTTACACTCAAACACACAGATGCGCAGATACAAAGCACAAATGGATGAGATCCGTTGCAACGTTCTGGACATCCTAGACAGTCTCGTCCCGCACAGGGAAAGATGCCCGGGTACAGTAGATTCTGATGACCTTTTTCCGTCCTCAACCAATTGGTCTGGAGCCCTTGTCACCCCCAGCACCAGCCCCAGACGGCATGCCCTGCTGGCACCGGGCTCCAAAGCCTGGCCTGGGTTGTGGAGTTGGATCCCTTCCAGCGGGTGACAGTCACCCCGGGCCCATTTCACTACACCCTGCCCCCACGCCACCTGTGGAAGCAAATGTAGGTTGGGCTGTGCGAAATAGTGGATGTTGGAAGTTTCGTGCCTGCCCGGGCTTCTCTCCGGGCCCTTTTCCTTGAGCCTGAATTAGGTACATCAGCTGTGACTTGTACCGTCATCAACCTTATATAGATCCCTCTGGCCCCCCGTGTCTCTCTGTCAAATTGCTTCACTGATTTGCAATTCTTGGCTTTTTCCTATTCTGATCTTGATTTACTTGACCGATTCATAAACATTTGACTATCCCGTTACTACGTCATTATCATTGTCATTCCCATTATCACTGTCAATCTCACCTCGACCTTCAGTTATACACCAAGCGACAGGCGTCATTAGGGGCAACAAAAATCTTGCGAAAGGGCTTCTCGAACATATAAATATTCCTAAAAGATCGGCTTTGGCTCTCTCAATTACTTCATACGAAAATGCTTTCCTACGAACCCACACCAATGTCAATCAAGACTCCCACAAAACCAACCAGCATTACTTTGCCGCCCACCACTTCGTCACCAATGACGGTAGCGCCTCCATCTATCAACTCTGCCACCCTCAATGGCCACAAAGCCCAGGGACAACAACACATCTGGCTGGTTACGGGCCCTGCCGGCTGTGGAAAGACAACAGTCGCTGGGTATTTGGCTCAATCATTAGGCTTGCCCTATATTGAGGGCGATTCGGTATGTACAACTTTTCCAGAACGCCCCACGTTGTGAAAATGCCCCGGCGTCACCACTAACACGGTTTTCTCATTAGTTCCACCCTCCAGCCAATATCGATAAGATGCGAAATGGTATTCCCCTGACTGATGCCGATCGATGGGATTGGCTCACAGCTTTACGGGAAGAATCCATCAAGAGATTGAATTCCGGATCCAATGGAGTCGTCCTTACTTGCTCGGCTCTCAAGCGCAAGTATCGCGATGTCATCCGCGTTGCTGGATACTACGATCACCGCATTCAGATCCACTTCGTTTTCCTCGACGCTTCTGAGGAGCTTCTTCTCGCTCGTGTCGCCCAACGACAAAACCACTACATGGGTGCCAACATGGTCCATAGCCAATTCGAGACCCTTGAGCGACCTCTGGCTGATGAAAAGGACGTTATCACCATCGATGTCAGCCGGCCCATAGAAGAGGTGGAGCGAGAAGCTCTCAGCAACGTGTTGGAAACAATCACCAAATCTCAAGACAAGCCATGATCGTTAGACGGCCTCGAAAAATATCGTTTTACGTTCACACATTATATCATTGGGTACATGTTTACCGGCTTCATCATCCACTGTCGACCCGCCAGACACAGTCATGATGGACAATTTTAGGCGAGGCCTTATTATCAAGCAGGGAGTCACAGCGTTCTGGCTATTTGCATTCAGGATTTTGGAGTTCAATATTTAAACGGCGTTTTGGAACCAAGCGTCTCGTCGCTGCCCAGTACCTACACACTCGGACAGCTCTCCGATGAGGCGCGACCAGGAAGAAAGAGACTAGCTGGCTTGGTGCAGTCCCCCGCAAAGTGTCAGAGTTGCAGTCGCTGTACCGCATGAGCACAACTGGGGCTGCTTGCTTACACGGATAGGCTAAAAAGAAGGGAGGGAAAGGTATGCCCTCATCCCCAGGGTTGTGAATTTACGCTGCGCGCGCATGAGAGCCAAACTTGGGCGAGATGAGAAGTCAGTTTTGAGGGTTGCTATATTATCGACTCCATCTTAGATGATTCATGATCTGCTTCGCATGTCAAGGCAGAAATACAAATAAATATTCTTACACCAAACACCCATCAGTGCCATGCGATGCATGCCGGTATCTATTGCCATGAGCCTATGAGGTACCATGTAATTTTGCTCGGTGAGCGAATAGATCTGTTCTAATTGACTTCCAGGTATTCCGATGAACATGAAGTCTCTCATGCATCATGATAACTCCACACATATGACCGCGGCTCAGCTCGTTCATGACAATGGAAATGCCTCTGACCGACAAGCGTACGAGTGATAGCTTATACAAATACTTCATCATCACTGAACTGTCATTGGAAGCTTCAGGTCGGTGTGTTGTCATCATGCACGGTAAAACCCATTCGGCATCTTGGGGCCTGAGCGATTTGCATCACGAGGTTATCAATGCAACGGAATCAGGGTTCTACAGATTGTGCCACCATCATCTTCCATCATGCAGATTCAGATTGTCTGGGTAGATTCTCCAACCACTCACTTCTTTCGCTTGGCTATCAACAAGACAATGAGACTTCAATATTTAGCCAAACCGGGATCCATTGCCGAGGAATCATGCAATACCACGGCTCAGCAGCGTCTCACCAGCTTTGCATATCGCCATTGTAATTCATGAATTTTTGGTAGTCTAAATTATGTACATTAACGCCCCTCTATCTATTTCAGATGCATTACCATGAGGTCCGGCTCTTCCACTATTTGTCTTACTACCTCTGCGGCTCGCGCCATGGTAGCGCCATCAATAACTCGGTGATCAGCACTCCAGCTGAAGTTGGTGATCTGCTTCTTGACAACATTGTCGTTCTCGTCAAACGCAGGTACTGTGCGCATGCGTCCAATGCCCAGAATGGCCACCTCACGTTCCACAATGACGGGACTGACGTATGTACCACCCACGTTTCCAATATTGGACACTGTAATTGTGCCCCCTTGGAAATCAGCCGGCTTAAGCTTGCCCTGGCTGGCCAATGCCTGAAGCCGTGAGAGCTCTGCCGCAATAGATAGGATGTTGAGAGAAGCGACATTCTTGATCACGGGCACGACAAGGCCCCCGGTGGTGTCCATGGCGATACCGATGTTATGTTGTGATCGATGGACCAGGCATGGCTTGTTAGTCTTGGGGTCAACATCCACCCTGGCATTGAGCATTGGGTACTGGTTCAACGCTAATGAGACAGCCTTAATTATAAAGGGGAGATATGATAGCTTGCCAGGTTGACCCTCAACTGTAGGACCCTTAGCAATGACACGGTTCAGTCGCTTGCGAAGCTCCACGAGACTTGAGAAGTCAACCTCATCAGCGTAGAGGAAGTGTGGGATGGTCAAGGACCTCGTCATAGTCTTGAACATCTGTAGTTGTGTGTTGGAAAGAGGCACGACTGTTTCGGCTTGTACTAAGGTGTCTTGGGGCTTGGAAGACGTAGGAGTTGGTGCTACTTGCTGGGCACCATCCTTGGCATCTCTCTCCTTGATAAACTTGTAGATATCTTCCTTGAGAACTCTGCCATCCTTTCCAGTGCCCTCAACATCTGCGATATCCACCTTGAGCTCCTTGGAAAGATGTCGCACAGCTGGAGTAGCGATGGTGGCGCATTTGCCCTTCTCTTTGACCGGTGTCTCAACAGGTGTTTCTAGACTCGCTTGCTGCTCTATTTGGGCGGCCTGGGTTTCTGTGGGTGGTGGAGGAGGCACATCCTCCTTGTCGGCTTGTTGATTTGATACTGCGTCAACCTCCTCGGCCTTTGCCTCGCCTTCGATATCAATGTCGACAAAGGGCTTGCCGACCTTGGCCATTTCGCCAGCTTCGTAGTGCAGCTTCTTGACCACGCCTGAGAAGCGGCTTGTGATTTCCACAGAGGCCTTATCACTTTGGACTTCGCATAGCGGAGAGAACTCCTCGACGCGGGCACCGGGTTCCACGAACCATTGAATGACTTCACATTCAACGATGCCTGGCTCGTGTTAGTCAGACCGGATGACATGGGGTAATTTGAGTTCACGGGCTTACCTTCACCAATATCAGCCAGAACAACAGGCTTGACAGCCATTAATCTTCTGGATTCACTGAACCATCTCTGAGAAGAGGCCATCATAGGAGCTCGAGAGCCCATTGCCATGCTACCCATGCCTCTGGCAACATGCCATTGCTTCTGTAGCACACGGGATCCTCGCTGAAGAAACATGATTGCTAGCAATTACGACTGTAAGGAGGAGAAGAATGTTCAAAGACAAACAATAGAAGAGCCCGAGTCATCCTCATAAGAAAGAGGAGATGGTAAATATCCATGGCATGGTTTAAGCCGAAGGGCTGGCTTCCATCGGCCCCGTCCGTGGATAACCGCCAATCCGGGGGAATGACGGCACTGGCGAATACTAAGCCCGATCGAACCGCATCTTCGGCTCTATCTCACCCCCACACTGCCGATACAGGCAATTGCCCTGTGCTCCACTACTCCCGTCAAACGTGGGGACTCTATGGAAACTCAAGTCGATTTTCCAACGTCTGGTCTCAGCTTTGAAGAGCCGCAAAGTCCGTCCCCTCCCCTGCCAGCCATGATGGCGTCACGACGACTCGAACTGAGCCTCACCGGCCTCGCTCGCCGACCTCTCACATGCTTCCTTTGCGAGGCTCGTCGATCGTTTACCACTTCGGCCACCCGACTAGCGAGGACTGAAAAGCCTGGATCTGGCGCATCATTAAATCCTCAAGAAAATGTTGCCAAGCCAATTGAAGCTCCGCGAAGTTATGGAAAGCGACAAGAAGGACACTTCGTACCGAAACCTCTCCCTCGGCCGATTGGAATGCCCCTACCGCCCAAAGCTGGAGAGAATACTGGGATTGATAGTCGATCACTGCGACAGCGTCGTGAGGATTTTGTTAATTATGATAAGCACTTGCAACGGCGCAAGGAGCTGTAAGAGCATCACCGTTAGACTCACAATCCGTACTCTCTAACGCTTCTTTGTATACAGAACGGCAAAGATATCACGACCGTACTTTCGAGATTGGGGCAACCTCCAATACCATGAGGGTAAATCCTTCATCGCACCCCCACGCCTATTTAAGGCCGAGTTGTCACTATTCTTCCCCAACTTTTACGGGGAAACTCTGTTGAAGACGGATAAGAACCCACGCGATACTACACCACTCCTTACTGGCAAGGCAACGGTCATCTCTTTCTTCAGCAGCCGCTGGGCCGAGCAGCAAGCTGCGACCTTTACATCTAAGGAGGAAAACCCTGGGCTTCATGAAGTGCTAAACAAGCACCCAGGTACCACACAGATTGTCCACATCAACTACGAAGATAATGCCGGTAAGGCATGGCTAGTGCGATTCTTTATGGGCTCATTGCGAAAGCAGTTCCCAGAAAAGGATTGGGACAAATACTTCCTCGTGCGACGAGGTGTTACTGACGACATTCGCGAATCCATCGGTCTACTCAACAGCAAGGTCGGATACGTCTTTCTTGTTGATCAGTATTGCCGGGTTCGGTGGGCGGGCAGCGGAACTGCTCATCCCGTTGAAGCAGAAGGCTTGGCCAAGGGCCTCTCACGTATAGTTGATGAGATGAGGAATGAAGCTACTTTGCCTGCCACTGCAAAGGAGCAACATCCAGGTAAACACCATCTTGAGGTTCCAAAATTACTGTAATTAGACGTCTTCTAGTAGAGGAAGACGATTGTAACTTTAGACATCCTAGACATCCATGGTCCCACCATGGCCTATTTGTACAATATCAAACACGCTGATACCCCTGAACACCTGTGCATCATGCAAAAGCAAGCCCGCCAGTTTTACGAGAAGAGGAAGAAGACAATGAAGCAGAACGCAACAAAGCTTCCCATGATAATTCCGTCCCTTCTCTTCTTTGCTGATATCCTTCCGATCAGCGTGTTGATCCCGGGTACTTGGCTTGCTGCATGCGTAATCCTCCGGTTGATGCTCGCCAAGGTTTCACGCTGCAGATGAAAGTTGTCATTAACTGCGTACGCTTGGCTGAGAACACTATCCGCCATATTGTTGCTGTTGTCGATACGATTGCGCTCTTCCAACATGTAATCGGCCTCGGCAGCTTCGGGGTTGTTCTGACGGTATTCATCGATATCGGAGCGGACATTGGTCAGAAGGTTTGCGCGATCGCGAGCTTGTTGCAGCGTTGAGCGCAGGCGCGCCAGATCTCGCTGATGGCCGGTAAGCTTCCTTCGAAGGAGGGACAGGTTGTTCTGTTTTGAAGCGGAGGATGCGAGATTGGGTTCGGAATCAAGAAGTCGAGTGAGCTGGCCGTTGACTGTTTCGCGCTAATGCGATGTTAGTATGTCATATAGAGCTTGCCAGCGAACAAGATCAGCGGCATACCTTCTCTAGCAATTCTTCTAGTTTTCTCTCTGTTTCGCGCTCTTCTTCTGTAGGTTTTGGTGGTACATTAGAGGCTGTCGAGAACTGTGAATATGTGTGGAACAAGGTCTCCGTCTAAGTTACGACGACGTCAGCTAACAGTCTGGCGCATGATATTGTTTGATGTACCTGAGTCTCCAACTGTCGAGCTTG